GAAGAATTAAAAATGTTATATTGCTTCAAGATTTGGCTCATGATTCATGCCTATTTAAAAAAAAAAAAAAAAACTATCAATTACTATTCTTTATTATTCCATTTCAACAAAGAAGTAACTAAAAGTGATTCAAATCTCCTAGGAACTTCCCAGAAATACAGAATCTCAGAACCCACTTCTGACCTACAGAATGAGAATCTGCATTTTAAGAAAATCTCCAAGGTTTTTATTATATCTGTACATTAAAGTTTACAAGCATTTTTCTTCACTATGCCAAACCTGGGATAATTTGAGCACAAAAATAATTAAATGCAATAATGAATGATAAGCCATTAAAAATAGGAATTTATGAGTGCATACTGTTAAACAAATAACCATGGGGAGGCTCTTGCTTGTATTAAAGTGGTAAATGTGGATGGAGTGCTGTAATTAGAAAATCAGCATTTTCTAGTGGTAAAGACTGACTCAGGCAAGAATCATGAGTGGATTTAAGTCTAGGGGGAAGTTCTAATGAGGAGCAAAAACATTTGGACAATTGTAAAGTATCTCCCCACAGAATGATTATTAGTTATGAGGGGGAAATAATTAGTGCAGATATCAGAAGTTTTGACAAGGTGATCAAAATCAACATCACCAAGTGTGTGACTCCAGATGTGATACTCTCAGTCTTCCAAATACATGAACTTTTTGTTTTGTTACACATATGGAAAATAGTTAAGCATCAATAAGTAATAATAAGTGAAGTAGTAAAAGCTATAACACAATCTTAAGGATTCTAGCAGGTTTTCTTGTATAATAGGAACTCAATAAAAGAGTACATTTAGCCTATAGTTCCAAAGGAAGGAAAAGTAGAAGCACATCACAGAAAATATTATTTATCAAAATGGAACATGTCTATTAGGCAACTTAAACAAAATGGAAAGCATAAATAGGGGCAAGATGAGATGAAATGATAGTCGACTATAGACAATAACTGAGAATCCACTATAAAGAATGAAACAAATAGAATTAAATTATGTAATGCCCCAACTTAGCACAATGCCTGAAATAGTAAATATTCAAAAGATATGGTTTGTTACCTTTGAAAAAAAGTCTAAAAGCTGGTATTTCCTTGTTTGTGATACCTGGGTATTTATTGGAATATTCTGTGAGAGTTGAAATATACTGACAGACAAACAATAAACAAATTCCCAGGACCCACTCCAGACCTGCTGAATCTATCTCTAAGGAGGTAACATACACCCCCTGATATGATGTAATAAGATGGGCATTTCACAGCTGTTGTAGTCTTCCCAATACCCAATTCACCCTAGACTAACCATAAGAAAAACACCAGATGAATCTAAAGTGAGGGACATTCTACAAAATACTTTAGTCCCCAAACTGTCAATGTCTTGGGGGTTAAAAAAAAAAAAAAAGAAGAGACTGTGAAACTATCACAGTCCAGAAGACACTAAGAAGACATGAAGATTAAATGCAGTGTGGGACCTCAGAGATGATCCTGGAACAGAAAAAGTACACTAGGATAAATGAACTGGCGAAAGCCAAATACAATTTGGATTTATATCATAGTAATTTATCAGTGTTGGTTTCTAAGCTTTCGCAAATGTACGTTAGTAATATATTGGGCATTAAGGAAAACTAGGCAAGGGATACTCAATAATTCTCTTACTAGCTTTGCAATGGAGTAATTCTAAACTTCCAGTCTGTAACTCTAAAACAAAAAGCTTATTTTAAAAAATATCACCAGAAACAGGAAGTAGGTATATATATACTTCAAGTTCCACAAGTGATTTGATACCTACTAATGTATTCCAGAAGGAGCTCTGATGGCGTAGTAGTTAAGGCATTTGGCTGCTAACAAGAGGGTGGGTGATTCAAACCCACCAGCTGCTCCATGGGAAGAAGACAAGGCAATCTACTTCCGTAAAGATTTAGAGCCTTGGAAACCGAATGGGAGTTGCTAAGAGTCAGAATCAACTCGATGGCAGTGTGTTTGGGTAATTTACTCCAGAGTCTTCATGATCAGGGTAAAGAAATTTTAAAATGTGTGACAGCAAGACCCCCTGTGTAAGGTAAGACCTATAAAAGGCCTTAAGTTCTTTTACGTTAGACGTAAATTAACCCATACACCACAATGAAAACTGTAAATTAAGGCTACTGTCAGCTTCTTATCTTTTAGAGAAGTGAAGCATGGATCCTGACACCTAAGAGCGAAAATAACTTTCATTTTGTTATTGAAGTGTCAGCATCTATTTCAGTGATTCAAAGCCTTTGAAAAATGCTTGATTCAGATGATGTCTCTCATCTTAATGTGCTTTCAGTAACTGTCTTTAATCAATAGCTAGACTTTGTAGCCATTTGAGTGTTCAAGTATGTTTGAAAAGAAACACAGCTTAAGTACTTAATCTAGACATTCCAAATGTGTCTTATTTCCATTATGTGTGAAATGTTTACTATTTTTGAAAATCATTATATATCCAAGAGTTGAAGATTCGTAGAGAAAACAAAAAATTCATATTCTTTTTAAAGTAAAAAGGGCATTCTTTTGGTAACTTGCCTTTGTTGTTGTTGTTATGTGCCGTCGAGTCAGCCCTGACTCATAGCGACCCCTCCTTGGGTTTCTGAGGCAGTATCACTACGGAAGTAGGATTGCCCAACCTTCCTTCCGGGGAGTGGCTGGTGGGTTTGAACCGCCAGCCTTCTGGTTAGCAATCAAGTGCCTTAGCCACTATGCTACCAGAGAAACTTGCCTTAGAGAAACTAATATCACCTGGTTCTGCTCTGGGTTGAACTTAGACTACTTAGATTTTACTGGGTTGGATATATGAAGAGTCTGATGTTTCTGAACTAGTGTAAAAAGGGAGATTTAATATAAAAAGATCAACTAAATTCTTATACCAACTAAACACTGACATAAGAGTTCTGGAAAACTGCAAAAGCATTTGGGAAGCATGGTGAATATGCAAATTTCTTGGAACTATCCCCTACCCCTCCCCAGCTTCCGACTCTTGATTCAGCAGATACCAACTGGGGCCCAGGAACTGCATTGTCAATAGGCCCTTCAGAGGCAAGTAATTCAAGGATCACATTTTGAGCACTACCATGAAGGCAAGAACACAGTCTTTTGAAGTCAGAAAGATCAAGGTTCATAGTTTGGCTTTACTGATTTTTATTGATGTGACACTTAGCCAACCACTGATTTTGACCCAAAACCAAACTAGTTGCCTTCCAGTTGACTCCAAAGCATAGCAATCCTACAGGACAGAGTAGAACTCCCATACAGGGTTTCCAAGGCTGTAATAATCTTTATGGGAGTAGGCTGCCAGGTCTTTTCTCCAGAGGCTGGTGGGTTTGAACTGCTGCCCATTTGGTGAGCAGCCACGCACTTAACTACTGCACCACCAGGGCTCCTACCCTCTCAGTCAATGAATTATTTCTGAGTATTCACTAGGTGCTATGTATTTCTCTAGGTCTCTATTTCCTTATCAGTAACATTGGAGGCTTTTAAGGATTAAATGAAACAATGCATGTAAAACACTCAGCACTTTAATAAGTTTCACTGACCCAATGGAATGGGTCATCAGAATGGATCACATAAAATATAACAGCTTCCATAAGGGAAATGACAAAAGATTAAACTCCACCCTCGGATACAAAAGCTGTACTCCACCAGTCAACTCTGAGGTTTCTCCCTAATAAGAAGCAAAGACCACACCTCTGTGGTGCTGTTTAGATACTAACAATCACAAAATTACTTGTCTTTATATGTCCATAAAGGAATCAGCCTTAAGCTGATTTTGGGGATAGGGGACAGGTTAGGTATAGGTAGCAAAACGGTAAGAAAATACTTGCATTGTACTAGATTTTATTCTTTTTTCCCAAAACCAAAACTAAATTATGGTATGACCAGTTATCCGCCCCTTTCTGGTCAAACCAAAGGGAAAAGTACTCTTGCATTGTTTGTTACTAACGTGAAAAAGACACAGATACCACTAACAATAACTTAGGACTATACTGTCAAATGTGCAAAAGTGCCCGAAAGCAGATTTCACAAAATAAATAAATAAATAAATGGTAATAATCAAGCAAAAATTAAAAAAAAAAAAAAACACAAATTATTAACAAACTATTTTTAGACTGTACATCCTTAGGTGTCATATTATCACTAATACAGAATTAGATGATTATAAACACGTTTCTGTTTGCTGACACCAGAAGTAATCTCTGAATTTATAAAACATCTCTTGGTTAATTAAATACTGGGCCAAGTAGAAAGTCCATGGCATTTGGACTTAGGTTTGAGTTCTAACAATACCAATCACAAGTTGAATAACCTTGGTCAAGAAGCTTAAACAGATCTAATGTTCAATATCTTCACCTTATATTGGAAATAATAATAAAAGGAACAACACTGCCACCTAACCAGCACCAAACCCACCACCATTGAGTAGATTCTGACTCAGTGACCATACAGGACAGAGTAAATGTGCCCCTATGATTTCCAAGGCTATACATCTATATGAAAGCTGACTGCCTCATCTGGAGTGGCTGGTGCATTTGAACGGTCAACCCTTTGTTTAGTAGCCACCGCTGTACCACCAGAGCTCCTAAGTTTACCTGAAGTAAACTGAACAAGGTAAAATTATATCACAATTGATAACCCTCTGACAAAAAAGTCACAGTAATAAACCATGTGATTCTTACACAGTTACAAATTAACATTTACATGTACAACAACTACAAAATGTGTACATTATTTAGAGATTAATATTCTGAGACCAGAAAAGAGCAGTAGTTAGAAGTTACTGTTAAATCACTGTTGGGCAAAGGAGTGTAGAAAAAATAGTGAAAAATCAGTTCAGAGATAAAACAAGGAGTAGTAGATCAAAGGTAGATCAAAAAATTACATAATAGCCCACAAAATTAAAATTTGAAAACAGATTTGAAATATTAAATATTTTAATGTCACTAAATATTTTACTTTTATAAATACTTACCTGTAAAAATAAGTAACTAGGTAGTACATTGTCAAATGAAGGGCTGAGATATACTGGTTCTGTCATTTTTATACCTATTCCTCTGGAAAGGAAGAAATCTAACATTAGTCTGTGTAAATTAAGTAGTAACTACACATGTAATATATAATAAACATATGTAATATAATATCGTTGTTGTTATGTGCTGTCAAGTCAGACCCGACTCATATCGACCCCTCCTTGGGTTTCGGAGGCAGTATACCAACCTTCCTTCTGAGGAGTGGCAGGTAGGTTTGAACCACCAGCCTTCTGGTTAGTAGTCAAGTGCCTTAGACACTACACTACTAGAGCTTCTAATATAATATTACATAGTTAAAATACTATCTTTCTAAGAGCAAAGCCATCTTGAAAAAAACACATCCATCCAGGCGATTCCAACTCAGTGACTCTGCGAGACAGAGTAGAACTGCCCCAATAGGGTTTCCAAGGTGGTAAATCTTTACAGAAGTAGATTGCCACATTTTTCTCCCATGGAGCAGCTGGTGGGTTGGAACTCCTTACTTTCTGGTTAGCAGCTGAATGTGTGAACCACTACACCACCAAAGCTCCTAATAGCCAATTAGCATGTCAAATATAAGATCTTCTACCTTTTTTAGATCTCTTTTACCCAACATCCAAATACTTAAAATATTCCTGTTAACTGTTTTGAATTTTTATATGCAGTAGGGGAGGAGACCATCAAGATAGTTAAAAAGGATGAAGTTACATAAATGTTTCATTGAGGTACAAATGAGTTTCTTTAGAGATCCAAATAGATTAAAAAGCAAAGAACACCTGAGTCTTTATTTTTTGATTCATTGCACTCTTTCTGGTAACATATTTATGATCACTGTTATTAGCCATACAATTTAATAAGCATTCTGTGAACATGTCCATGTTCAAGGCACTGTGCTGCGTGCTTACATGAAAAATGAAAAAACTCTTCCAATCATACCAATGTTAAGCAGTGACAGACAGACATGCTATCCTGCTCTCCTCAGATCTCATTACAGAGTAATTGCTAGGGACTGAGACAATCCTCAGATGAGTTTTTTTCACAGAAGCACCCAGACCCAGGATGGCACAGTGAACAGTGATTTATAAAGACAGACAACACAACTTGAGAGACGTTTTCAGAGATTACCAAAGGGAGAAAAAGCACAAGTACTATTAGAGAAAACCAAGCATGGCCTGGTATATGAGGCCAAACCAAGGGAAGTAAGAAAAAGAGGAATCAAAGCAGTGTTTGGTGGATTAAAAGGGCAGAGAAAAGTACAATCTAATTATGTAGGCAAGGATAAGAATCAGGATCTAGACCAGGTATAAAAAATATCTACAAAGATGGCTGTACCCTACTTGATGTAGTCAGGGTAAATCTATGCTGATTGTTAAGGTGAAAAAATTTCTGTAGATATTTGTACTCTGTGATTGTAGTAGGTATGACTATGAACGCCCCTCATTTGAACTATGAACTCATCCTTCAGTATATAGTAAATGTTAACTCCTCTTCTTCCTCTCTCCTCTTTACCTCCTTACCCATTTGTTTACCCTCTTGAATGTGTCTCTGAATGTTCATACTTTTAATCAAAGTTAAGCCTCTCTCTCTACTTTCAAGTCAAGATACTGTATTTACTTCCAAATCCCCCTTCCTGTCCCCCTCCCCCGAGAAATACAAAAAGGAACCTTCTGAAATGTAATTTAAATGACTTTCTGACTTGCAGGTCTCCAGTATTTTAAAAAAAGACTGAAACGTTAATATTTAATATGTCCTACCTTGGGCTTTAAATTCTGGTCTTCCTTTGACTATTCCCTTCTAACCATGTCTACCAGCACCAGTGAGTCCATCTATACAATATTTATTTAACATAATAAAGATAATTTAAACCAATTATTGCTCAGGTATGGGATCATGTATGATTCTTTTTGTAGTGATGTAACACATCCATGTAATAATATACAAGATCTCATATCATAAAACAGTCTGTTAGTAAATTAATGTACCTCTGTGAGTCTCTGAATAGTCAATCTACCTGGACTTCAAAGGACTAAAGGATGAAAGTTCACTAATCAAATGAAAAAGAAAATCATTAATAGAGTTGGCTTTAAAATTTTTGAAGAATATAAATAAGAAACAGTGTGTACATAATAGTATTTCTTCATTCCAGAAGCATGCCTTCTCTAACACAGGAAGAGATCGAAATCAAAATCACAGCAGAACAACTGAATAAAATGAGTAAAAACCAACACTTTTTTTTTTAAAAGATGGCTGCCTCGCACTTCCATCACAGCACAGTACACGGTATTACCACATCAAATAAGATCACAAAATGAAGAATGAACTACCAACAGTGAACTAGAGGAGACAGTCAAAATATCAATTTTCTGTTATGAGTCTACAGATACATATGCTTATACATATACATATCTTTGTATTCATAAAGCCTTCCATTGTTGTTAGATGCTGGGGAGTCAATTTAAACTCATAGCTTAGAGTAGAACTGCCTCATGGGATTCTCTAGGCTATAATCTTTACAAGAGCACATCACCAACTCTTTCTCCCACAGAGCCACTGTATGGGTTCGAACTCCCAACCTTTCAGTTAGCAATTGAATGTTTAACCATTTGCTTCACCAGGGCTCCTTGTTTGGCAATCTGTAAAGTACTACTAGATACGTGGACTCCAAAAGTCTGTTTTTTCAGAATTAATTTTAACTATAAATCCAAACTGCTGCAACATGAAAAACTGTTCTAAAAATCAAGGATGTTGTCTAGTATTGTGGATAAATTAATAGCTTTCAGCAGGTCTATGTTAGCACGCAACTTTGGAGTTATGGAGCTGTCCAAAAGAACTCCTAAAAAAGGCTGAAAAATCTAAGTAAATTAAAGCATGGACTGTTCAGGGATTTAGTTTATTTACAGGCACTAGCCACCAAAGATGATCTAGGACTAACTGTATTTAAACTTGGCTTGAACAAATTAAAATGCGTATTTCTAACCATAAATAATGGGAGCTCTGGTGGCATAGTGGCTAAGGCATTTGACTGCTAACCAGAAGACTGGCGGTTCAAATCCATCAGCCACTCCTTGGAAGGAAGATTGGGTAATCTACTCCTGTAGTGATACGACCTTGGAAACCTAAGGAGGGGTTGCTATTCATGTCAGTATTGGTATTCAGGTAAAATTTATTTTTAATTTTTTAATGTTAATTTATATTAAAACCATAAGCTTTTCCTTTCATAAAATCAGAATGTTACAAAAGATCAAATTAATTCTCTATCAAGATATTCTATAAATATTATTCAAAGGTACAGAACTATTCAAATCAACAAAATACAAAAGAACAAGTAAAATCACTTAACAATTACAGTGTGACTGCTTACTTGAACTCTTCAATATGACTACTTTCTCTCTTTTTAACTGAAAAACATTTTTTCCAAAACCATGGAAACATGAGTTAAGTAATATTTTACCAGCTGAGTTGATAACAAAATGTCATTTGTATAATGCAAATAGGGATATTCTTAATTTTTTTTTTTTTTTAATTTTCTTTGAACCACAACAAGAATGCTTATTTCCCCCATACAACACTTGATGACGTACTTCAGTTCAGGTAGCCCACTGAAGAGTTCATTGCGGCTTAATTCAGAAATCCCATTTCCAAGAAATACTTTTGATCCATCAAATTCTTTGGCTCCTTTCTTACATTTTCCTTTAATATCAGAGTATACAGAAATAACATCTCCAGCTTTCATAACTAAAGAAAGAAGAAAACTGGATTACACTGACTTATATTTTGGTGTGAATTTGGTGTGATCTATACTTTATGAAAGAGTTTAACAGTAAAAATTTTCTAAGCTACACTAGGAACCTGTAGGGGTATCAACAATGGGTATGAAGCAGTATAATATCGCAGTATAATCCTTAACAGAAAATCTGATTTTTTGCCTTCAAATTTTCCCTAGCAATAAATTTAATTGAATACCTCTTTTTTGGGTAAAATAAAGAAATAGAATAGATGTCAAAACATCTTACTTCAAATGGCAGTTTTCAGCTAAGCAGAAAATGAAGGGTATTTTCTACTTATTTTCCCAAAATCTAACATTCTCTAAAAGATTTCATATAAATTGTTTTTTTTTTTTATTTTTTTATTACTATTTGGGTGAACGTTTACAGAGCAAATTGGCTTTTCATACAACAGCTCATACACATTTTGTCTTGTGACACTGATTCATATAAATCTTGTTATCTTTGACTCATAGTTTTATATTTCTTTCCTAAAGATTCCTCAGAAATACCCACTGAAATCTCTCCAAAAAATCTCTAATTTCCATAACCCTGTTGATAGTTACAGTTTGCTAGTTATACCAATATTAAGGTAGAAACTTTAATAATAGACACATACATTCATTCATATTTTTGTATGTAGGCACATATATACATAGATGTTTATGTGTGTAAACTTGGAACACAGTGACACTCTATGTTATACAGAGTTAATTTATGACTGATTAAATGTAGTTTTCATCATTTCTACAAACGATTGTCAGTTAAAAATCTCGTGACATTAATAAGTAGGAAAACATTTCTTCTGAAAAAATATTTTAAGATCTAATCTGATAAAAATTTATTTAGCCTATTACCTGCCAAACAGCAGTGAGCAGCCGATCAACTAGAGCTACAATGACTGTTAAAACATCCTGACCAAGGGTCAACAAAATTTTTCTATAAAGGGCCAGTAAATATTTTAGGTTTTGTGAGCCATATTAATGTCTCCACTGCATATTCTTTGGTTTGTTTTTTTTTTAAACAATTGAAAAAAAAAATTATAAACTATTCTTGGCTTGCAGGTCATACAAAAACAGACTGCTAGCATGGGCCAGACTGCTAGCAGGCAGTAGTTTGCCCAAGCCTGACATAGATCAAATTACTTATTTCACAGGCAAGGTAATTAATGCTCAGAGATTAAATAATTTTCTAATAGTTCTAAACCCATATTTCTTGCTTCAAAGCACAATAAGATACCACTGAAGCATTGTAACTAATTAGGTATTTGACTGCTAACCAGAAGGTTGATGTTTCAAACCCACGAGCCACTCTGCAGAAGGAAGATGGGACAATCTACTTCTGTAAAGATTCACTGCCTTGGAAATCCAATGGGGGTCACTATGAGTTAGAATCAACTCCATGGCAGTCGGGTTTGGTTTTTTGTTTTGAATATGCCGTCAAGTGGGTAAGCTAAGAAAACTAAAGTTTCATCCTAGTGTTAAGATTCCAGGTTTTTAATGTTACCCTCACAAATGATAAAGTAGTCTGAGGTTTTAGAGGAATGGTGTTAAGAATACAAATGAAATCTCTTTGACATCTTAAAAACCAAAACTGAAAGCTGTTGCAGTCAATTGGAACCTGTAGTTACTTCACAGGACAGAGCAGAACTGCCTAATAGGCTTTTCAAGGTTGTAGTCTTTATGGAAGTCTTTATGCTGCATCTTCTCCTGCTGAGTCAGTAGCCAGTGGCTTTGAATCATTAGGTTAGCAACTGAGCTTAACCACGGTGTTACAAGGGCTCCACCCTCTCCATTAATCAGTAAAACCAAAACAAAGCAAACTCACTGCCATCAAGTTGATTCTGACTCATAGCAACCCCAATAGGGTTTCTGAGGCTGCAAATCTTCATGAAAGCAAACTGCCTTGTCTTCTTTCTCCTGCAGAGCAGCTGGTGTGTTCAAACCACTGACCTTTTGGTTAGCAGCCAAGTCTTAGCCACTACACCACCAGAGCTCCTTATGATCCCTTAAATAAACATCAACACATACATTCTAATATTGAAAGTAAAAGACTGCCAGAAAACCTTACATAATACTGAATATTTTAGTCCACATCAAATAAAAACCCCTCTGCTATACTAAAGGTAAAACTTAGATATATCTGACCAAAGTAGATTTGAAATACCTCTTAATGATAATTCCATTTGATAATGAACATAAATTTTAGACGATTTTTGCTTTCCAGAGAAATGTAAATATCACACTTACATTTTGAAGCTGACACAATTCCTGGAACATAGACATGGGCTCCTCTTAACACTGCGTTGCCACACTGGGCTCCAACAGTGGCTTCACACTGTTGTTTTTTTATATCTTTTCTAGGGATGTAAGGTAAGAGAAATTTAGCAGATTAACATGCCTCCAAAGCTTATGAAACTTTTCAATGTTATAATCTAAACCTTAACAAAATAATATTCTAAATCTTGATTGTCCTGAGATATTGCCACCAAGGAATAAGTAAGAAGGAAAGCTAATAGAAAGGGATAAAAATGGAGTAAATAATTTTTTTAAAAAAGGAGGGAGCACTTGAGAAATGAAAAAAATAGAAAGAGGTCCATCTGGTGGAAGGAAATAAAGTGACATCAAAAATTACTTAGTTAACAAATCATTTAACAAACATTCTACTGTGTTCAAAATAGGATTAGGTGAGAAGAGAAATAAAGTCCGTCTTCAAAGACTAAAACAGACAAATATATAAGGAATTCAAAAACATACAAGAAATTTCTAAGGCAATAGATTACTGCATGGTAAATTATGACTTTCAAATTACATAGACAATGACGATAAAAGGATTTTTTTTCTTTATTGTCAAAAATTTTTTAATGTTTTGCTTCCTTCAATTTCCCACCTCCCATTCCTTCCTTCCTTTGCTATTCATAAGGTTTTCCCTGGCTCATAAGGTTTTCCCTGGCCAATTCTTTGAGAAGTGGACGGCCTCTTCCTTCTTCCCAGTCTGTCTCAGTCTGTCAACTGGGCTGTTACCTGGGCACCAGGTGCATCTCTCTGGGTTTTAAACACCAGAGGCTCAGCCTCAAAACTCATGTCTACATGTCACCACAGTAGGACAAACCGACAGACAAGTTTGTCTTGCTGTTGGAGACCTCTCATATCACCCCTACCTGGGTCCCTGGGGCTGACTGTACCTCTGTCTGCCTTCCTGGCTTTTAATCCCCTTTCTCCTGCTCTTCTGGCCTGCTGCTTTGGGCGTCCCTGGGGCTGACTGCTCCTCTGTCCGGGTTCCTGGCTTTTATCCCCTTTCTCCTGCTCTTCCCACCTGCTACTTTGGGCATCCCTGAGTTGTCTCTCCTCACCTGTAACCCTGGGCTGACTGCTCTTCTGTCTGGGTTCCTAGCTTTTATCCCCTTTCTCCTGCTCTTCCGGCCTGCTACTCTGGGTGGGCCTGAGTTTCCTCTCCTCACCTAATCCCTTCGGCTGATTGCTCTTCTCTCTGGCTTCCTGGCTTTTAATCCCCTTTCTCCTGTTCTTCCCACCTGCTACCTTGGGCGTCCCTGAGTTGTCTCTCCTCACCTGTAACCCTGAGGCTGACTGATTGTGGGGCTGGCACGGGATCGGGCAGTGTTTCGTTCTGCTGTGCATGGGGTCGCTATGAGTCGGAAATGACTCGACGGCACTTAACAACAACAACAACATTCCCTCCTTAGACAATTAAAATTTGGTATCGTTTCTAATACTTGGAAACTACTTCTTCAAAGGACACTCATGATCTTGAAAAATGGTGTGTGTCCATATGTGCCCGGATAACAAGACTAGAAACCTCAGGCCATCTCAAACCTCTTCGTCCTAACCTTGACACTGACTGAGTCACCAAAACCTGCTACCTCTAGTTCTCTAGTAAGTAGAAGAGCTACCTCCCCGCCCCCCACACACATCAGATCCACATCAGCTCTCAATTACTGAAACAGCTTCCTGTCCGTTACCTTTGGTTGTTTTTAGATCTTCTTTATGTCCTTGGTGTTCTGCAGTTTTACTGGGATGTATCTATACATAGATTTATTTTTACTTTTGGCTTCAGATTTCATTGTGCTTCTTGCATTACACATCAATTCTGAAAACTTTTCAGTTACTACATTTTTTTAATATTATCTGTTCCCTATCATTTCTACTCTGTACTTCTGGGACCCAATGAAGAGCCTTTTTCATTCTATTTCTTATGGCTCAATTTCACTTTCATCTTTTCAATTTCTTTATCTATCTCTGCTTCATTCTATACAATTCCTTCAAGCCATCTCCTAGTTCAAATATTCTCTCTTTAGTTGGGTTTAATTGGAGGTTTAACTCATTGAATACATTTTTAATTTTAATAATAAAATTTTTATCTGTAGAAGTTCTATTTGGTTCTTTCCCAATTCTACTTTTCACTTCTTCTTAGTGTCTTGCCTTTTAAGATTTTGATTCCCTCTTTTGTTTTTAATCATTTTAAGTAAACTGAATTTTTTAATGTGAAGGTTTTATTCTCGATTCAAAGTTGACTATGAAGATTTAAAAAAATACATAAAAATAAAACACCAAAAACAAAAGAAAATATATAATTGTATGCATTTTAGACTCTAACGATTATAACGTTCTTGTTACTGATGCAGTTCTGCCCTACATCGACACCATGTACAACAAAACGAAACACTGCTTGGTCCTGCAACACCCACACAATCATTGCTATGTTTGAGCCCATTGTTGCAGCCACTGTGTCAATCCATCTCATTCAGGGTCTTCCTCTTTTTTGCCGACCCTCTACTCTACCAAGCATAATGTCCTCTTCCAAGGACTAGTCCCTTCTGATAAAATGTCCATGAAGTCTCGCCATCCTTGCTTCTAAGGAGCATCCTGACTGTACTACTTCCAAGATACATTTGTCTATTCTGGCAGTCCATGGTATTTTCAACATTCTTTGCCAACATCGTAACTCAAATGCATCAATTCTTACTCACTTTCCAGCTTTCACATACATATGAGGTGACTGAAAATACCACAGCTTGGGTCAAATGCTCCTTAGTAATACTCAAGGTGACATCTTTACCTCTGGTGGCGTAATGCCTAAGGCATTTGACTTCTAACCAGAAGGCTGGCAGCTCAAACCCACCAGCCACTCCGTGGAAGGAAGACAGGGAGGGCAATACACTTCCATAAACATTTATCACTTCGGAAACCCAAAGGGAGTAGCTATGAGTCGGAATCGACTCAATGGCAGTGAGAGAGAGTGAGTGTGTGCAGCAGATTTGCCCAATGCTGTATGTTGTTTGTTTTCTTGACTGCTGCTTCAATGGGTGTTGACTGTGGATCCAAGTAAAATGTAATCCTTGACAATTTCAATATTTTCTCCATTTATCATGATGTTGCTTATTGGTCCAGTTGTGAGGATTTTTGTTTTATGTTGAGGTATAACTCATACTGAAGGCTGTAGTTTATGATTTCATCAGTCAGAGCTTGTTTTTTTTAAAAGTGAAACAGATTTTACTATTGATTTAAAGTTGACTATGAAGATGTTTTAAAAGTTAATATATAGTTTGTATTTTAGAACATAATGGTTATTATAAGGTTATGTGTTATATTTCATGTTTTGTAGTGAATACACCCAGTCTTAAATTGGAGGTACAGACATGGATTACTTAGTCCATACAAAATACATGAACAACTGCACCCAAATTGCATGGAATTTACTGAAAACTGCTAAAGGACTGTAATTGTATAATTTTGTGTCTTTGTTTACTGGGAAGGATTTGAGGATTTCTGCCATTGTGATAGGAAACCACTTGTAATGTTATTGGGAGAAGGTAGTTAAGTTGCAAGATGAATGCAGAGACTGTATGTAATGTGCGGGGTCAGCAGGCTGTTCCTGCACCTGGGCTGCAACTGCATCTGGTGAATGAAGGAATGCTCCAATTCAGGATTTCCAAATCCAGATCCAGCTGCTTGTTAGCTTCACCTGGGGAGGTTTTCTTCCTTTCTTGGTTTTTTTTTTTGCTACTCTCCTCCACCTCCACAGAAAAAGAGCTCAGCTGTAAACTGTAAGCTGTAAGGACTCTGCCAACACTCTGGACAGCTGAAGGAATAAGTACCACCCCTGAAGGTGAGATCTGGGCAGCACATCACAGCATCCATTAGTATGAAAGGGACTAGAGTTTCAAAGAAAAAATACAATATGAGCAAGGAGGATTTACTCTTGATTATAAGTTAGGTTCAATATTTATATTTAAAAAAATCTATCATTGTAATTCTTTGTATCAATGGACAAAAAGCTTTTATTAAAATTGCATGATTGCATGAAAAGATGCTGAAAAGGCAGTCAATGAATTTGTTAAATTCATCAGCAATTTCTCATTCACGTGTGTGTACAGGTGTAATTAAAAAAAATACTTTATTGGAATTTTTCTTTGTAAGTAAATTGATTTTATAGTTTCTCTAGGATAACTATGTTTGGTAAAGTTTTGGAGAAAATCTAATACTGCAGTTTGTTCTGTATGTTGTTGATTCACACTCATGGACTTTGATTGCTATGGGAAGAGGGTAAGGCTTGGATGGAACCAGTGCCACTCCAGAGTGGTTTTGCTTGCTTTCTGCCACAAAACAAAACAAAACAAAAACACTCACTGCCAAGGGGTCAACTTCAACTCAATAGAGACCCCTCCTTGGATTTCTCTACAAAGCAATAGTCTTCCTTCTGAAGAGTGGGCTAGTGGGTTTGCACCTCCAGGCTTCTGGTTAGTAGTCAAATGCACTATGCCATGCACCTCAGGAATTGGTGTGGAATCTAATTTTTATCAATTTCTAAGCTTGCAGGTTCCAAGATCATTTGAGTAGAATGAATTTAAATTTAAATTCTAAACCTTTGAGGCAAGAAACCATATTTCTACATTCTCAGAAGAAATACTTTTTCTCTAACCCAGACCATAAGCAAGAGTTTTACTTTCTAACTACTGCCTTATATCAATTGCTGGATAGTTCTCACGCTCCCTCCCCCTAGTTAACACTCTGGTTAAAACCAAAAACTCTAAATTTAAAAGACCAACCACTTGGACCCCCATTTCCCCAATATTAGTTCCCATGCTTACTGCTATTTTCAGTTACTTTTCATTCCTAACCCCTGAATATTACATTTATATTCTTAATTACTCAGTTACGAATAGTATGGCTTTTTTTATTTAGTATTTTTAGGTGTACACAGCAGAAACATTTTTAGGCTAATAGCTCACCATATGGTAGAAACTTAAAGACTAAATAGTTTCCTAACTTATCTCCAATTCTGTGATTCATCTTCTTTTAAAAAACATTTTTTATAATTTTTTTCACGGTTACCCTAATG